ATAGTATCTTTGTGTTAGAAATCAAACATTATGTTGCCTAGATTACCTGGGAGCGGATAACTGCACGTTATCAGTATAAAATCTTTCCAACTGAAAGTTTCGGACACTGATCTGTATAAATGGATAGGATTTGCTTGGAAATGACTATTGTTGCCTGTCCATTTATAAAGGTTAATGACTTTTACAGAAAAAGTCATCTAAATTATATGTCGAATTTCACGGGAAGAAGAGTTATAAATATTTTAACATCTTACCTAATAGTAATTGTCTCATATTTCTAACCACCAGCTCTTGATTGATAATCTAAAACAAATAACACATGCATATTTATACAATAATGTAATTTAAAAATATTACAAGATAGTTATTTTTATAAAAGGAAAGTAATATTTTAGAAGTATAATAACAGATGAAAAGCTGAGAAAAAGAAAATGTTTTATTATTTTGATAGTAATGGAAAGTTTTTTTTTATTACAATTTTTTTTCAATTTCCAATGTCGGTTTGCATTTCAAATATAAATAGGTAACTATTTTGATTTTAAGTTTAAGTCATAAATAACTTAAGAATTTGTGTGTCGCGTTTATTGTCAGACATAATTTAAATTTATGACATCACGGTTAAAGATGTCAAGATTAACACAAACAGACGTAAGGTCGTCAGCGTATGGCGAAAATCCGATATTGTTTACCTTTGAAACCGGCTTTGGGTTAACTAATATTTTAAACAAGTAACCACAAAAATCGGAACGTGTTAAGATTTTTCATTTAACTGTATATAAATATCTTAGAAATTAGTTACAAAAAAATAACAAACTTATTCAAATAATAGAAATTAAAAAAAAGAATAAAAAAATCGACCAAAAGTCGGTAAATAGGCCACATAAACCGCTTTAATGCGGCCTACATACCAAAAAGTCAATGACCGCCACAGATACTTACGTGCAACTGGCAGCTAGCAAAACAAACACCGAATTACAAAGTTACACTATGTTTTTTTTTTTTAAAAAAAAAGAGTCGGTAAGCATGCAGCCAGCGCTACACCGTGCTCGATCGAGAGTGACGTGCGCGGAAGCAGAGATGGCGCGTTTTATATCTAGATATTTAACAGTTAAGTTTGAACAGGCTATGGTGGGTATAGAAAGAACAATGTTTTATTTAATAAATAAAAATTGAATAACTTTCGTATGAATCTATAAAATAATAAACACGTTATAGAAACTACTGCTGCATTGCAAGCTAAATACCGAATAAAATTTAAAAAAAAAAACACTCAGACGAATTTAGTACCTCCTTCTTTAGGTAAGTCGGTCAATAAAGATGTGATGCTTATACGCATCTATTTTAATGTTTACAATATTATGAAAAACAATTGTATCTACATAGATTAAGTGTATTCTTAATTTATTTTCTTCAAAAAAATTGAATCTAAATCAATAATGTCGTGTCTAAAAATTCATAACTCTTCTTAATCTATGGATTCCACGCGCAAAATCGAAGGGAATGCGAAAAAGCATTATCTATAGACCACCCTGAAAACATACTGGCATAAAAATAATACTAAAAATAATAAAAAACTGAGTACAGAAGAAACAAAATAATTATAGAAATAATAGATCAAAATCCTAAAGTAACGCCTCAAAAGTCTATCAACGATCTCCTTTCAAGATATATTCCATGTCAGATCATAGTATATGTTTTAAACTTTAAGTTAAGTTCTTATCTTTATTTGTTCAATTAAAGAAGTGGCAGTTTAACAAAGAAAATACATGATTGTAACAAGCATCTGTCATATCTAATTAATTTTAAACATGAATATTCATTTATTATTCATATTACATAATTATTCAAATTAGTAACTCATACTGTCCCTGTTGATCTTTACTTTAATACAAACACCATGTAAATACATTTATCTTGTTGTTCATAACATATCTTCTTGTACTAATATTAACCAAAAAAAAGTAAAATATCGATGGTATTATAAACCACCAGTATCCCAACCAGAATCCAATTTCCAATCTTCGATGCTTTCAATTATTAACTCCTTCGCCGCTGTAGGCAATATAAGTCAAGACGGGTTCAAGCTTGTTAGGTAGCCCGATAAGTAATCCTGTCCTGTCCTTAAATAGGTCTCATCGTCCCATTCGTCTCGTTCCAGACTACTACTTGTATTGTCCAAACAAAAAAATAACGGCCGATATAAAAACATAAATCGTTTACAATATTGAGATAACGCTCGCAAAAATCATAACAGAGTTCGCAGGAATGGGTCAACAGCCAATGATTACAAACTCAAGTAGTTAATTCCATGATCCTTTTTCTAAGAAAGGTATAGAAACGTAAAAAAAAGCTTGTAAAAGAGAGAATAGAGCTGAATTTGAACGCTGAACTGTTTATAAATGAAATCTCCTGCTCTTATTAGGAAAGATTTGTATTTTTATATGTATTGAAATAACTCAAAAACTACTGGGCCGATTTAAAAAAATTCTTTTACCATCAGAAAGGTAATTTATCTGTGAGTAATAAATATCTTACGAAGTAATTGAAAGACATGGGAGAAGATAGTTTTAGAATAGATGACCGCTGTCAGTGTCCTTTTAAAAGAGGTTGCAAAGTTACATTATCTTGTTTTAATGTTTTTGTGTTTTTTAAATTATTTATATTTTTTTCTTTTAAATACGAAGTTAAAGCATAATAATGTCTATGTTTATATGCGGTAACGATAACGTAGTATGTTGCTAATTCCCTTGCTGCAGTTCCCACATAAAATAAATGTTTTTATTAAGAAACGTTTATTATATTGAGTTGTTATTATTACCTATACTAAACTAAAGAAGTTATTTATTTTAATAAGGCTTTTATTTCATTTATTTTATCATTTAAACCGTGAACATAAACTGTAATACGAATATTAAAAATAAAGTTTCTTATAACAATTATCACTTGTCAGTCATATTGGAAAAAAAGATATTATATTTAACAGTATAAATAAATTAACCTCCTCAATTTTGTGCAATGTTTTAGTAAATCTCTAATACTAGCTGTTCCCGTGCGACTTCATCCGCATGGAATTATGAAATTTTTATTTTGTTGTTTACATGTGTCAAATTATCAATTACAAATGTCAAAATGACATGACATGATGACAACCTTGCTTCCTTGATGTTGGCAGCAACATATGGTCTCTTTTCTACATTAGGGTTTTTATCCAAAATATTTACCCCCTAAATTTAATGGCGTTAAAATATATAGTCTATAGCGTGACGCAAGTATAGGGCTTTTTATTAAAAAAAATGCTGTAATTGCTTACATCTTAGGAAACAAAGAAGTGTGTGTTTACGCTTTATTATATTAGTTTATTATATTATTTGTATTCTTTCAGATATCAATTAACACACAAACAAATAGATCTAAAGCCAAACCATACATAAAAATCAATCAAGGTTCATATTTTTCCGTAATATGGCGTTTTATACAAGGGTTTTCATATTCTTAGTCACACTATACCATGTTTCTCGTTAATATAAAATCTTTTTCTACTTATAGATATCAAAACTGGTACTGAAATCGAGATCCTATAAAAGCGTTAACATACTTACGGCCTGTTCCGCTGGACAACGTTATTAATTTCTTTCTTAAAGAAAGTAAAATGTCCTGTTTATCTTTGTTCGCAACTTGTTTATTGGTCGAACCGTTTCCATGACAATAGCATCGAGACATCGTAAAGTAGGGTGTCCATAATGTTTTGTACATTACAAAAATATTAAAAGTAGTAAATAATTAATTTTATCGACACTATTCATAATTACATTCAAGTTTTTATTTAGATTTTATTTTTGAAGTACTAGTAAAAGGTTTATTAATTTCATATTTAGATTTTTATACATAGGTTTAGATTTAACAAAAGCATCATTGGCAAAAACCAATCCTTCTTTTACATTTTTATTATTCCACAATGTACTGTAAGAATGGAATATATAAGTTTTCACTTACAATATTTTGGTTATTATGCAAAACAATGTTGAATTAAACAATATATCTTGAAATTCCTACCAAGTCACTTTGATTGGTCACCCTATTTGCAATGGCGCCATCTCAAACTGGCTTTCAGCCGCATCTTTCTGATTTCACCGGCTGATAGCCCACTTATAAAGTTCTCGTTATTCTCGTCCTCGAAAGTCCATAACTATTAATCTATACTGAATTATAAAAAGGACAGATTTGTATTTTTGTATGTATTGAAATAACTCTAAAACTACTGGGCCGATTTAAAAAATTCTTTCACCATTAAAAAGCTACGTTGTCAGTAAATAACATAGGATATACTTATTTAATATTTTTAATTCACGCAAACGAAATCGCGAACAACGTAGTATACATGTTATAGAATAGATGTTCGTTTTACACTAACAGCCTTACAAATAAACGCGATATAAAGTTAAACTTAGGAATAAACTGAACATAACCAAAATTTGTACTAACATTTGCTTATACTCAGTTTATTCTTAAGTTTAAATTTTACCGCGTTTATTTGTAAGTACATAAGCGTCCATATATTACCACAACCGTCACAATGCAAATAACAAATCTCAGTTTAATCATACTTTTAAAAACATGCACCAAAAATGCCTTTGATGTACTTTAAAGTACCGACAATCGGCAAAAGGCACGTGAATCGAATTTTAAGAAAAAATCTGTGTCGCGCTTTTTTCTTTGAAATAGAATTTTATATGCATGACGTAGTCTCTGATTAGCAAATAATGTTTCTGAATTGCGTATCGATATTACATTACCACGCGGTTGAAAATTCGTTTTATCTATTTTTGGAACTAAACATTAGACTAACTTCAATTTTTATTAAATAATTATACACTAAAATCTTGGTCTATATAGTAGAAGGTTTTTAGAGAAAATAGTGTATAAAAATTATTCTGCATTTTGAAGATTTTAAGGTAATCTTTGGGATTTGGCATAAAAACAGAACTCATAAAAAAATAAAATTAAATCATAAACATATTACAACGATTTATTCATTATTTATAATAACTACAGCTGAGTATTCTTGAAGATGATCAAACTTCAAGTCAACCGAACAGTCGTGATATAAAGTTTTTCGGCGCATATTTTCTCTCTGAAGATGTTACTGGAAAAAAATAGAAATTGATTATTATCTTCATAGAATTGCTGTAATAATTGTCTAAACATAGTGAATTTAAGGTCTTTTGCTTTATTTAACACTAGCTGTTGCTCGCAACATCGCCGGCGTTAAATTAAAAAATATAGTCTACTCGTTGATAACGTATAGCTTTCTAATAATGAAATAATTTTTGAAATCGGCCCAGTAGTTTTTGAGTTATTTCAATACATACAAAAATACGAATCACTTTATAATATTATTATTAAATTGATATTGATTGTTTTCTATCGAAACCATAAACAACTACTAAATGCCAAGCATTTTTGGAACACATTTTCACAAGCTTTTCTTTACCACTCAATCACAATTTAAACAACCTACTCGAGCCTCAGACATAACAAAATAGATCACAGTGAGCTTACACTGTCAAGTATAAAAACAATATTGCATCCCTCTCATTCCCTTGAAAAAAACAGAGATACAAAAAATACATACTATTTTTTGGAACAACAGGAGCTTCTGTTACGTTCGGTGTCACAGGTTTAGGTTCAACATAAGGAATCGGTTCCTCGACTTTTCCTTCGAACAATACTAAGCCTAACTTATTATCCCTTATAAAGAACAGGAATGGGCGATCGACACGGATTTGTACACCATTCTCTATGAGTGGGATGACCATAGCGGAGGAGGCTGCAGCCGCGACTGTACCCGTTTCATCAACGGCTATGTGTACTTTGTGGATTATATTGCTAACTTGCGACGAACTATTGAACATGCTGGAGAGATCCGCTTTGTTGGTGAACAGTAGTTTGATCTTCATCTGTAATGTAAAAAGAAACACTTTAAAATACTACAATAGCTTAAGCGTAGAGTTAATTGTCAAAAGAAAGTACACCTATAACGTTTTTAAATTTCCATTGGTATTTTAGGCTGTTATGAAAAGTGGTATGTATTACAAAAACTAGCTGCGTGCTAAATACCATATAAACTTATGAATATGGGTAAACAGATTCAGAAATAATTTTAAAAATAAGAAAACATTGTTTAATACGAGTATCATAAATCTTGCTAATGTTATAAATGCGAAAGTTTGAATAGGCGGATGTTTTTTTGTTAGAGTTAGTAGCCTAATTTCTGAAGGGATGTGGATGAAATATGGCATAGATATAGAGGATATTCTAAAAATCAAATAGGTTACTTAGTTTTCTTTCTTTATTTATTCTAGGGAAATAGTATAGATATAACTGTACTCACCGCTCTTAAAGCTTTAGCCATATCGTCACTGTAGTCTATAGTAAACTTGGGCATTTGTAGTCGCACATCTGTCTCTTCCATCAGGCTCGCTATCTGTGGCAGGCTGAAGTATGGGAGATCTCTGAGGAGCTGCGACACGCCGTCATGCTCATATGGGACCAGCAGAAACATTGAGTAACGACCACTCTGAAATTTAACAGAAGATACTTAAAGAGAGTTATATATTTCCTCGTGTATTAAACATAGATATAACGTATCGTTTCCCTCTGTTTGAATATGAAAGAGACGACGACTTTCGGGAAATACTTCCAAGAGGCTGTACTTCGCCCACCCTCGGTAGCCGACTTGACCAATTTTTAATTAACAGGTATCATGCTATTCGCATTTTTCAATTTGATTCGGAATCATTTTACCTACATTTGTAATCAATTTTTCAACATAAATGCCGATGTGATTATAGATATAAATAAGGGTGGTTGACACATATGTTTGTGTTTAAAATCAAACCTGTACAATATAAAAAACATTCCTATCTATTTATTTTAACCGCAACTTCCAATTATAATTAATAACATACGTAAAACAGGAAAACCTTGAATCGAACTGAGATGAAACTTGTTTAGAAACTATCGTCGTTTTTATTTTATTGTGTTTATATGTTAAATGTGATCGTCACAAAATTTGTAAACTCCCTTATATTTCTTACTGTTTTTTGAAAAATATATGGTTTCAAAACTAGCAAAACATTAACGCAACAGCAAAATTATTTATTGAAATTTTAAAGAAACCCACAATACTCAGTACATGCCATTGCCTGTTCTTTTAAAAATAAGTAACTAGGAGATGTTGTCCATCGTATTTCTAAATCTTCGAGCACGTTATGTATTAAAACAAGTTCCATAAGAAATATTTAAAATTAATACAAAACAAGACCGGTCTTAACAAGAAATTAATTTATCGAAATCAATCTGATCAATTTAATTGGTTTTTGTTTTTTTTACATACAAATAATTACGCTTGTAACTATAGGGTGGAATTTTCCATGTGGTAACGACGACGAAGTGCCTTTTTCCACTTATAGATTAGCCGCGCAAATCGTATTTTCGCTAGTGGAAATAAAACACGCGTAAACATATAAATAAATTTTGTATTACGAGAAGTTTCTTACCTAATTTTAATAATTAATTCACCAAATAGAATTGATAAATCCTCCATTTTAAATAGCAAACCACCTTTGACTGAACTATCGCACAACTGTTTCGTCTCGCTTTCATTCCTATGAGCTTATATGAAGGCTGTGCAACTAAAAAGTTGAATTAACTGCGAAACAATCGACAGTCACACAACAGTCGTGCGATAGCTTAGTCAAAAGTGTGCGCACGGTCTAATTAATAATTATACACATACCTATCGAATCTTAAGATAATCATAAACCTCTATAACTTTTTTTATTATGTTAATGTTATAAATGAAAATTTTGGACGGAGGATTGTGAGAGTTTGTAGTCTAAATTGTTGAACGAATCACTAGTAATTTGGCATACATGTAGAACATAGTCTGGAGAAACACGTTAACTACTAAGTTTTTTTTTTTAAATTCGCGTGGACGGAGTTGCAGGCAAACGCAAGTAGGTCATATTATGATCTAAGTTATGTTTAAGGGTTTCCAGTTGCCACAATATTGTTTACAACTTGTCTTGCAGAAGGTCATCAAGTTACAGTTTTATATTTATAAATGTTTTTTTAAGATGACATTGAATGCTCGGGAATATATCCATACTTTGTATTACGTATAATGACGTGACAATGGCATCGATTCACCTCGAAGATGACAATGCAAACGCGAAGAAACGGCACGAGACAAAAATTGTTATCACCCAAGTATCATGTTATTGTGGACTCATTGTAGTTAGAAGCGTATTGTTTCTTCGGTTGCAAAGTTTCTTATAGACAGTCATTTTCAAATTCGCGACCAATCACAAGTAAAGTAACCTATGGTTTTAATTATTATTGATTTATAACGGGCTTACACCTTTGACTAAACTATCGCACAACGGTTGTGCGACTGTCGAATGTCGATTGGTTCGCTACCCATTCAACAGTTTAGTTATACAACTAAAAATCGAGTAGTGTGAGCACCTCCATATAAGCTCATAGGAATCAAAGCGAGACTAAACAGTTGTACGATAGTTTAGTCAAAGGTGTGCGCAAGCAATCCATACGGATATATAATACGTACGAAGAAACCATATCCGCAGTATGCGTCATCGTTTACTAGATCTGTTGCGCATCTGAAATAAACCCTGTTGAAAGTTAATACGGGAAATAACCTATTCCGTATTACAATAACATTTTCCTCTTAAAACTTTTGTCCGTTTTTGTGACAATTTCTGTCACAACAAATTCTGTTTAGATTGTTATATTTGTATAAATATGTACATGTAACTAATTCACCATTCTGGACTGCATTAAGACTATAACATTTTTATGAGTAAAGTACACACTGCTTAAAAATATCCTCTTGTAAACTAGTAATTTTTCAATCAAACTGTCAGTGCCCTTCAGATCACACTTGTCCAGTAGCATTCTATAACTGGAATGTCAATGAACTGTGTTAACGTTAACTAGCACAGCGAGTCCATACGGCTGGCCGTCGCGACTGTACTGGCCAAGTGCGAACCGGGCATAAGAGGTTATGTGAACGAAGTGTAATCATTGTGCGAAAGCCAAGAAGAATAGAAAAAAAAAAGTGTAATCATTTTATTCACGAGAAAAAACCGGTTCATTCGACAATTGAAGAGCTACCGCGTTATTTCAAATATTCGTACCTCATAAGGCAATTCTATTGCATGTGCTCTCAAATCATCCACATAAGCGTAGTTTAGTCCAGCCTGGAGTTCCATCATGGCGACCGTTTGACATTTGCCCTGACTTTTGAAGCAAGCGCCTCGCGTCAACTGAGGATTGAAGGCGTGCTGCCAACTGCTCTTGAAGTATAACGAATTGGCTAACATCAACTCTGACATAGGATCTAAGTGCTCTGAAAATTTGTTCAAGACATACTTTAAAAACTTTCTTGATTTCTCTATAAATCATTAAAATTTCAGATGTTCTTGCAGTTTTTTTTAGATTTTGACGATAGGATAATATTCATGTAATACGTACTCCTACAATAGACACTACCATTTAGTTATTAGTATTCATTAATGAAATATGCACAAATTCAAAGATTTTCAAACCGCAGAATGCAAAACAATTAGGTACGTTCATTACAAGACAAACATAGTAATAGTTCCTTAAAAGCTTAATGTTAAGCGTAATTAGAGAGTAATCGAACTTACCAGGCTCCACTAATGTATTGATCAAGCCTTTAGTGTTATCTCTGACCCAAGTGTTTATCAGATCAGCAGTAGGCACAGGCTCGTGGAAATTAACAACACGAACTTCGGTCAAATATACTTTATACAGAATTGTTATATATTCCCTTCTTACACTTACTTTAGGTGCAACAAATATCGCATTTGAATTTAGTAGAGTAACCGCAGAATCGTTCGTCTGCAAAATATTAAATTAATTCATTAAAGTATTAGTTTCATTTGCTTTTCCGTTTGTCTAGATAGTCGAAGCTACTTTCACGTAACTTGTATCTTGGAAAACCCAGGCTTGGAATTATTCTAGGCATGAATGAATTAGAAATCTAATCTTAATCTTGATGTTAAAGCCATTAAATCTTCATCTGTTGAATATAACGATGAAATCACCTAAAATTGGAAAAACTGAAGTAATTTTTGAATTGGGTTTGATGAATATGACTTTTAACAACACAAAAAATAATAACTAACAAATAATTAACTTTAGAAACGTACCTTTAGTACTGAAAGGTAAGCATTCAGTTGTTCCCTAAATTCATCTTTATCAGAAGATAACCTTAAAGCATTTCTTATTTCAATCGCTGTTTCGCCCGCCGCTCCTTCCAATAACATCGCCAGTACAGATTTGATACTAGCAGGTGATACGACCACATTGCCTTTTTTATCTTCAACAGCAAATTGCAGAAGATCGGTATCAAAGAAATTGAACCGGGATATTTGCGGTTTGCGTCCAGTAAGACATTCTAGACTTTGAAAGCAAAGGAGTGATAAAACTGAAACATAAAATGTCTTATTATAACTAATATCTTTCGCCCGTGACTCCGTTAGTGTGGAATCAAAAAGAAGTGAATAACCTATGTGTTCTTCCAGACTATCCTATGCATCTACACTAAATGTTATCGAAATCCGTTCAGCCGTTTAGGCTACAAACTCTAACAAACATCCATCCATTCAAACTTCCGCGTTAATAATATTAGCATGAAAAGTATGATTTCTATAAAATTTTGATTCTACCGACTCGCTTGTTGAATTAATACGAAAATAGTACTGGCATAGAACGTGGTAGGAAAAAAGCAAATTACAGCAATGCAAATTGATGCGTTAACTTTAATGAGGTCTACAACATTAAGAAGAAACTTATAGGTGAAAACTGAGTTATTGAGAGAAACCATTCATTAGGTTTGAAAATATCTCAGCTACAAAATGTCCAACTTGATTTTGATCATGTTTGCTCTTCTTCATTCCGTTTTGCTTTTTATGGAAAAACCCGGTGAAACCGGTTCAGGCATTTTTTTAAATACTTTAGTATCTATTGCAAACAAATCACTCTCTTTCTATTAGTATTGATAATCTTAGGATTGCATTGAAGTAACACTTCTTTGGAGGAATTTTCACATATTTTTTAACCAATTTTAACGTTTTTTGGCATTTTAATAATATAACAATCTAAACGTACAAATATAATAAACGGCATAAAGTAACATTAAAGCTATAAACTACAATAATTATAAAAAAATATACAATAGGTGTAATACCAAAGGAAATGCATAAGAAACAAAGGTCACTCATAACTATTCAAGGTTAAATGTTTCGTACTCACCGACAAAAGGAATCAAAACCATTTCGACTAGATTGAGGCAGATTTAATTAAATTTTAAATTTCATTTATAAATGAAATATCAAAATCAACATTAAACATCACATTAACACAGGTGATCTCCACGACAACTTGCTGACGAATGAAATTACGTTTACGGACATTTTACTCGATAGCTGTTTATAGCAGTTGTAACGTTTTTTTTATAGTTTAAAAGATACAAAAGCTCAATTATAAAAACCCAAAAATAATGTTTTAAATCATTCAGGATATAGAACTGATATACCATTTGTACATACTATAAAATTAAAACGAAATAGGGCGGTACTTCCCTGATTTCAAATTAATATTGTTCAAAAATTTCATCATCGTGACAGCATAATAGCAAGCATAAATACAAGATAGGTACCTAAATAAGATCTCGACGTGATACGTAATTGACACATGGAAAACATTTTTTCCCCCGATGAATAGGAGTTGAACAGTTACTAATAACCAACTACCCCATAATTTCACAAAACTTTGGATTGGAATTAAAAAAAAAAGCATCAGAAATAATTTTACCAAGATCGATGAGCACGTTATGTTAAATTTCTCGCTTTACTATGAATTTATTTCATAAAGGCTTGCTTTCTTACTTAGGCATGTTTTACTACCAATCTCGTTTCTTCCTCTACCGATATACAAGAGACAAAATAAAATACGGTTTTAAAAATATCACTTTATTGTCCGGAAACATAAGGTTCAAAATATTATATTTTTATGTGTTGATAAAGTCTATTTGAATTCTTAATTTATTTTCATGCTATTGATGTTATTAAGATTTAAGAGCGCCGTCGGCGTTGCTGGGGTCGGAGACACGTCCTGTGAACAGCAATTGTCTGGTCTCCTCGTCTTGTATGAAGAACATGAAAGGTCTGTTCGCAACCAACTCGTAGAAGGATTCCTCTTCGCCGAATTTGTTTTCGAGGGTGATTTCTATAACAAATAATGGTTCAGTGAATTACGAAATTAGATAAGATGTTATTATTGCGATGTTTATACATATATCAAAAACAAGCTAGTACATTTTATAGAATGAAGAACTACCACTACAAAAAAAGGCGATTCATCAGATTTCGCAAAGAACAAATATGACCCGTAGATTTAGTATGAGAATCTACAATAAAAGGCTTTTTGATTTTATTTTTGAGTACAAGGTAAGTTTTCTTAACGTACCAGTGGCAGAGTAAACCGTGCTACCCAGTTCGTTGACCTCAATGCCGGAGCACTGAAGTATCTTGGACACCTTTATGCGCTCCAGCTGGCCGTGCGCGATGCCGGGGAACGACGCGGTGTCCTCGAATGCTTGACGAATACCCAACTGGCAAACATAAGATGGTAATTTTGGCTGGTATTTATAGATGTAAGTTGATTTCATGTAGTTCTTGAGTGTCATAACATACAAAGTCTTATTAAACAATACAGTAACAAGTCAAAATCTATTATAACAATATGGCGAAACGGATCGTAACAAATTACCTCTTTTAATATGCTGTCTAAGATGGAAGTGTAATCGAATTTGAACTTCGGCAGGGAGACGTCTACCAGATGTCGCTGCAGTCTATACAGTTCGGCGCGCAGGTCACTCAGACTGTTGTAAACCCGCGGTAAGCCGGTCAATGTGTTAGGAACCACGATGTACATTGCGAATTTTTTACCCTAGACAAAAAAGAATATTGTTTAATGTTTTTTTAAAGACTAAAGATAAAGTTGATTGTCTATATTCAAAGTTTGGAAAAGCAAGTGTCCAAACTTTGAATCCAAGAATTGTCCAAAAGAGTTCCAGACACTTCACCAAGTGTCTGGAACTCGAAGAACCAATCGTGCTTGATCGATTAAGGCTTTTCAAATACTGATGAATTTTCAGGGATTTTACTTTATTGTTTCAGATAGATGTTGATTTTCTATGCGAGTAAAAATTATTTACCAAGTACGGCATTCTGAGAATCTTGGCGTCGAATTTCGCTGATTCCGTGAAGTAGAACTTGTTTCTGACGTTCATGAATTCTACCGGTTTAGTATCTTTGGCCGTGACGTAGAAGTTGTGAGTTGTGGTCTCGTTGGGAGTGAATTGATGGACCCATGTGCCTTTGAAGTACAGTGTGGTGAGTACCAACAAAGCAATGTTTGCTACGTCATCTGTGAACAATTTCTTGTATTAACTATCATTCTCTTGAACATAAACAATTAAATTATCAATCAGAAAGTATTATTTCAAGATTAAAATTTAAATCATGAAAGTAGAATCTACAAAAAATTACTTCGACGAAATAACTAAACTCTTTCTTTACTTTTCTGTTCTAGTCCCTAGTTATATTAAGGTATGTACTTGTAATATATGCATGCAAACCTGAATTAACTAGATTTGGTAGACGTCCTTGTGTGGTATTAGCGACCCAGGCATTGATAGAACTGGCCGCCTCAACTGGTTTGGTGAAGTCAATCTTGACCAGCTCAGTTCTATAATAGTTCTCGGCGATAGCAGCGAATCTCTGACGCAATTCACCATTCTCGCCGACGTATATTCTGCTTCCCATGTTTAGAATATATTTAGAGGATTTCGTCTGTTAACAAATAATTGATTTGTAGTGTTAGGCAGTATGTTGTATGACCGCGGCGGAGAACCGATAATAATTGTGAAGTTGTTATGCCTACGCTTAGCTGTTTAGTAGTAATAGTCAGTAGAATAAATAAAAAATAAAAAAAAATCTTAATTGATCCAAAACAGTTTTGTACAGTTAGTGGGACTGTCCCCTGAGCTAGTAATAACTGTGTTTCAGGAGGCAGTTGCAAACAAAGAAGGATCTTTTATTAATTATTCTCTTTATATAGAAAATAATTACCTTTAAAAGTATTCATCTTTAACAGCATTATAACAAACAATGATTTATATAATGCTTATATAATCATTAGCAGTTATAATTGGTGAGAAAAAACCTGTCTGTCTGAATAGATCGCATAGTAATCGATAGACGTCAATCTTGTCTTGTTGAGGTTGAATTACCTTCAACAATTAAGTTTACCACTCTTAGCCAAACAATGAATAGAGCTTTATAATCTAATCATCTCCTTGCCTTACGATGTTTCAATTCTCTTCACATAATTTCAATAATTGTTCTATGGATATTTTATTTACCGTGTTATGATATGTTTGAACGTTGTTTTTTTAAATGTTTGTAAAGACATTAACTCCGTACTAAGAATGGACGAAAAAATATGGTAAAGACGCGAGGTCGCAGCCATCTGAATGATAGGACCATAAAATAACTTAGATAGAATTCATAAATGTTTACCTGCAGGGAATCCAATATGCTAGCGAATTTCTTCCTGACTAGAGCCTTGTCGAGGTCAAAGCCTAACACGGAGGCGAGTTCCGCCTGCGTGGATCCGGTAGCCGCTTCAGTTAGAATAGCCAGTGCTAACTTCAAGCCCAAAGGCGATAGAAGGAAGTTATTATCTGCAGATGCGGCAACACGCTGAAAACATTATTAATTTAAAGTAGATTTTAGCTTGTAACTCTTAGCAGTTAGAAGAAATTATGGTTTAACACTATCAGACCGGTCTATTATTTTATTGCTCCTATTGGAAAAAATAGAGTAATATTATACAATAATAAATCCAACACAGTTAAGCGTGATGTATTTTACAGATTACTATTTAATTTTGTTCGGAACGAAGAAACAAGTGATCATCAGAACATTATCTCGTCTTGTCGTAATTGAAGACATGCGGTTCTTGAACCTGCATTTAGCACTGAGCGAGACATAACTGACGATAACCTCTATTCTTTATACGTTTAGTGACATGAATGTCCAGGAAGGCGGTGGACCGCATTTTGTGGAAGTTATTGAGGAAGGGCTATGACCAACATTTGACAGATAAAGGCTGTTGATGATAATGATGATGTCCAGTACCTTAGTAAGAGTCCAATCGAATCTATCGAAGTCAGCTGGTGCGGGGTTATAGTTGTCCGTGGTATCAGAATAATCTATGTCTTGTAGTGTATTGTTTGGAGATAAAGCAGGAGCTTGCCCTGCCTGAGGTGCTGGTGGGGTTTTTCCATCGCCGAAAATCTGTTGTATAATATCCGATGTCAAATATGTCTGGCATTTCGCTGATTGTGTGAATATCGCTGGAAAGAGAAATTACGAATTAAATTGTTTATAGTCATTGTAAGTGTGAGTGAGCGACCGGACGCGGCTAAGAGTGGACGCGTGTACCGCGTCTCAATAGTGTAGTGTTCAATATTGACGTCGCGCTGAGATAAGG